AGATCAGCAAATTAGGACAAATTTTCCACTCTATAGGTTTATGAAAGCAAAGCCCCATGCAGCAAAATTACAATAATTAAAACTATAAATATTTGGTTTAAAATTAATAATTAGGATTTTGTATGTGAACCATCAGTTTTTAAGGAGCACAGAATTGTTTCTTGCTTTACAATTGCATGTGTGTGTACATATATGTAAATATGTAAGCACACATCCAGCCTTTCTGCATACAATCTTAGAGAAGGAACTCTGAACAAACCCCTGTTTGGATATGAGCACAATCTACCCGTACAATTCTTGTGCACAAGAAATGAGCACCACACGGAAATTTCCCCCAAGAACATTTTCTATATAAGATATCTTTTCCATATGTTCATAGCTGTTCTGTCATTCATTTAAACTTTAGAATGATAATGAATGTTTTACCCACAATGCATTTGCCAGTAACACAAACCAATAGATCTTGCCGTCTTACAGTCAAATTCCTATTTGAAAAAACAGACATATACATGAAAGTTGACTCACTTAGAGAACCATAGGATTTACTTGCTTTATTAAATCATTTAGAAAATAGAATGCATGTCTATGTCCTGTGATTTGAGTGAACTGGAGAGTCAGATCTGGGCATTCAAACTCTTTAAATAAATGAGAGAGTATATTAAAGTGTAAGCTATCCCCTGGGCCAGGTAAGTGACCCCAAAATGGCCAAATCCTCAGTTTTCCAAATATGAGCATGATCTCCCTTCCAAATTCTACTAGTATCAATAGAATTTCAACAAACACCTTAGTAATGTCCTGCTCTTAGAGAGAGAGAGAGAGAAAGAGAGAGATAACATATCACACCTGTATTCAGAATGCCTCTTTAGTGTCCTCTATCAAACTTAGTTGGTCTAGGTCTTGGGGGAGAAAAGCCTTTTTAAATAATTTTAAAATATCTATGCATATCTTCTAAATGATCTTTTTGTGGATCAATCTTCATCCCCCATTAGAAAAAGAAAAAGAAAATAGAGCATATCACCCTTTTCCAGAAGATCCTATTAAAGCTTATTTAAAGTGGATTCTCTGCTCAGAGGCATCATGTGGCAGCAGGGTTGAGAGAAAATTAAGAATACTACCCAATGGAAATAGTCTAATCCCATAAAGTAACATCAGGAAAGAATAAGTGGGTTTACTGAAGGGAAACCATTTATTGCATCCTGTCTCATTTTGAATGTCACATCAGTACTGTGTCATATTATCCCATATCAGGCAATTACAGTTTAGAAAAGCTGGTCCGTTATATTCAACATAGTATGTCAAAAGACGAAGATGAAGCACACCACATGTCTGACCTATAGTGACTGTGACAATAACATTATGCATCCAAAATTAATGTCAAATTTGTATATTCTCAATAATAGTTTTAGTATAATTATCCAAAGAAAGACAGGGGACCATACTCATTTTTAAATGGGCAATAAAGATATTCTTACTAACACTAGAAAGCATGAGCTTTGTTTCATCTAGTGAATTGCTTGCTACATATTATAACAGTAATTGGATAGAGCCCATGTCTATGAACCCTCAAGGTGATATAAAAATTCATGCTTCTCTCTCTATTTTAATCAAGTACCATGATTCTCAGGTTCCATTTAACAAAGTTATGGAAATCAAGGATTAAAACTAAAGCCAGTTTAATGTTAACTGAGTAAGTTATTGGGAACATACATATTTTACATTCCATATTTTAAAAAGACACAGATGACATCTTCATTATGAGACAACATGTTCCTGCACAGAACAGAATAATGTAGATTATAAATATATTTTAGCATGTCTATGTGTATAGTATATTAAAAAGTTACCTTGCCATAAACTATCTCAACTTATCTTGGGTCATTCTGTAATAATCATGTCATATTGCAAAAAATGTAAGCTATATAATACTGTAGGCCTGTATGGCATTATATTTAATGTAATAAATATGCTACTATAAAATTATTGACATATAAAGTAAATAAATGGTTTGTATTTAAAACTGGCTCAATCTATCAAAAATTTTAATAAAGATGTAATTTAGTTCATTCTATCCTTGCTTAAAAATATTGGTCATACCATTTTAAAGAGCATTATTCCTTATGATTACCCCTATTTGTAGAGTTTGTAATTTCTTTCCTCGATTAACTGTCTTCCATATAAATATTCCACTGAAATTTCTTTAGTCTTTTCTTTCCTATCAGTTCATTTTCCTTGATTCTTAAGACTCTATTTCCTTTGTAGCATCTGTCTCTGACCTTTTTAGTAGAATGTATATCCATCAGTAAAACCCATCTGTATAGACTCCCTTTCCAAAACACATCATATCCTTCAGATATTTGTGTCCTGGAACCATTCATCCATCTACAGAATTCTGCAGAACCTTTAGCATTCCTAAAACCTTACTTCATGTTGCAAAATGATCAAAAGTTCATTTTAAGTATTCCAGGGACTTCTCATAAATGTTTTTCTCAAAATTTGAGTAGTTTTGCTTGTTTAATTCAAAATTTAGTTTTATTGTTTGAGCTTTTTTGAAAGTATATATAACCACTAACTTTCTCATCTACTTGCACTTTTTCCATTCACAGCACGATGCTGTTCTCTCATACCCAAGACATATTTATTTAATTTTATGTAGCCACTTTTCTCTTGTACAAACAACCCAGTTATTCACCTCTCAGATTATCATCATTTAGATTGTCACCTACCTACGGATTGACAGATAACTGTGTTATATGATGAAAATATAGTACTAATCCCTGAGTGTTCAATGTCACGGTGTCTTCAAAATTATAAGTCAACTTTTTCCAATACATTCCCTCTGAATATGGCAAGAGTCGCAGGCATGGGGCTCCTAGAAAATATTAGCTATGAAACTTCTTTAGTCACTTATGTCACTTTGCTTTGATTATTAGAGAACAGTGCGTCAAGTAAATCTCACTGATTTTCCTTCTCCCTCATCAGTTTCCACCATCTACACGGTGGCCGACCTATAAAGTTGTAACTATACACGCCTACGATAACCCACGCACCTGCTTAAGTTACAAAGCATCTAGAGCTCTCTATGAGAACAGCAAGGCCAGAACGATCAGTCTAACAACTAACAGCCGAGAGTTAACTGATCAACAAGTTCTGTGCTTCTGCACCACTGAACCCCCGACCTGTGGGACGTTAGAATTGCCCTAAGATGAAGAAACTGGGGCCCTGGTGTGCTGAGTGATACATCTATGTTCCCCAAAAAACTGATAGGCAGGGTCAGGACCAGAACCCAGAGATCTTGGCATCTAGTCTGCTGGTCTTTCTACAGTTACACTTAAGACCAAGTTCTTTGTTTTTGTTGTATACAAACAAGGAAAATGAATGCTTGGTCTGTTCCATCAGTCTAAGTACTACTCTCACCTCTTTAATCCCTTGTTATCAGCCTAAACTTTTATCTTAGCCTCTCCCCTGAGGCTTTCCATGTGTTGTCACATTTACACATCTGTGCTTTGAAATGTTGTCAAACACTTAACTGCTACCATGTAGCACTTCACTGGTTTTCCTTCGTTTTTGCACTTATTAGCCTTTTTTTCTTGGTGAATTGGTTTGCATTTTTTGGGGGGTAGTTTTATGAGCCCCAAGTATGTTAACTACATATTCTGAACCTTAAACTGTTCATTTTGAGATATTATTTCATTTCTCTCTGCCTCTGGCCTTTCTAGCTTCACTAACTATTTCCAATCGGGCACTCCAGGTTTTTGATGTGTGTCCCAACGTCTCAGTACTTTCATTTAGAGAAACCCTTACTGATATGTCAATGTGATCCTGTTCCTTGTCTAACTCAAAAGCAAGGTGAAAAATCACCACTTCCTGATTGCTTATAATGGGTACCAGGTGAAAACTCATTCTAATACCATATCCATAACCATTTCCCTAATTTATACCTGAACCAAATGAGCTGGCTGGGTAGAAGCACAAAGAAGAAAACATTACAAGATATATCTCTTTCTTAGTTAGCTTGAGAACAAAAATTTCTTTAATAATCTTAATGTCCTAAGGCTAAGGAAAGTTCCCCATTCGGGGTATATTTATGGTACATAGTCTATATTTCTGCACGTAATTGTACACTGCAGTTTGTAGATAGTGCTCTGTCTATGAGGGTCACTGGATTTTCCCAGCACAATGTTGTCATCCATCAGTCCTTTCCTGTGTATACATCCTCACTTAATCTACACAAGCATTTTTCATTTTTCAATTCAAAATTTATCGATTCTGTTCCCATATAATTAGAGGGGAAATTTGTGTATTCACTTTAGCTCCATTATCTGTGCATAATCTTGAATGCTAGCGCTGTTTTCTTTGATTTCAAAGGAACACATGTCAAATACCCAGTAACTTAAATTATCCTCTCTAACAATCTGTAGCATAGTAAATGCTGGTCATGGGGCATTAAACTATAAATATGTTTCAGAGATCCTTAAAGAACAAAATATTTTAGAAAATCATCAGCTTCCATTGGTTATTATAACAGATGTTCCCTTGTGTCCTTGTGCTGGGTCTGGCTGCATCCTTAGATGGGAGGTTACATCAAAGTGTGAGCCATTACAGCCCAAGGAATAGTTTCTAATGGTTTCACTGTCATATAAGTGCTCCAAGGCATATCCAGTTAATGTGTAAGCATGCTTATCAAAATACTGCCGGTGAGAGCCAAAGCAGTTTGGAGAGATGGCAGGATGGTCTCCTGCTGTCTGATGAGGAGACATATCCGAATGGAGATAGTCTTTAGTAAGGATCAAACCGGATTTTGAAATGCGATCCGAACTGGGACTACTTATCCGAGACAGTGCAGTGGGACTGTTGTCATAGTCATTTTCGTGGGGGCTCAGCATCTTTCCCTCCCTCTGTTGGATGTGGTCACATGGTGAAGTGTTGGCAAGAGTGGTGCCATGGCAGACTTCGCCTGTCGGTGGGGGCTGTTGGTAGTTTGCAAAGCAGAGGGAGTGTTTTTTCCCAGCTCCATTAATGGAAGCCAGTTGGTCTGGGGGAGCTTTCCTTAGCTGCAATCTGTTCTCTTCTTCTTTAATCATTTGCTGGGTAGCTCTTATCAGAGTTTCAATTTTGCTAGGTTCATGTGGGCTACTTTGATATTGCTCAGTGCGATATCGGTCACCTGATTCGCTGGCAGACCCAGGGTCTGGAGAACTGACCACACTGTCTTCATCCCAATGACCTCGCCCTAGAAATAAGAAAAAGCGAAAGGTAAGCGGTCTCGAATTTCACCCCCCAAAATTTAAGTGTATTTCTTTTTAAAAGAAACCTTATCTCTTTCCTTTTTAACATATGCACCAATATTTGAAACAGACAGGTTCACAGGACAGACAGACCATCAAAGTATTGGACTGGAATTCATGATTCTGTGGCTTTTAAATGCAGATGAAGTTTGTAACAAGTTTTTTGGAAGGCAAACTTTGTTCGTAGGTTGTGAATGGCAATTAGCAAAATGGTGAAGTGTGTTTCTACTTCATATATGCACATCATTTGACCTGTCTGACTGTAAATAATAAAAGAAAAATGCATAACATTTGGTTTATGTTATTTTCTGGAAAAGTGTCATGTTAAATTAATGCTTAGAAAATGCTTTCAATTGGGTTTGAGAAAGACAAAGATATAGGCTGGGCTATTTTCTCAATTCCAAATAAATCACCTAAAATGTTAGTATTGCTAAATGTGCCTTATGTAGAGTTACAATAAAGCTCTAATGTAATTTTAAAACTATTTGAAGGTTAAGAATATATACGCATTCATATATGTGTAGATGTGTACATGGATATGTACATATCTTGTCCCAATCAAAAATATATTGTCTTCTCAAATCTAGTAGTATAAATCTCAGTTTTACAAATAATCATATAGTAACTCATATCTTAGGTTGTTTCTGATATAAGGTGAAGAATAAATAAAATTAAAAATGTTAATAACAACTCATTCTGAACCAAGGAGAAAGATCTAATATACAGGAATCGTGCATCCAAAATATACTGTGTGAATTAAATAATTCTCAAAGCAGTCTGAAGTCAGTATGAAAAGAGAGAAGAGGAACAGGTGAAAGTTGTAAGGGAAAGTTAAGTTGTAAGCTGCTTAATGCTGCAGGGAAGCCCTGGATCTCACTATTCATTGCTTTCCTTTTCCCTTCTCTTATTTTATTTCTAATATTTTCTTCCAGGTCATGTAGGTTAAGCCAGGATTGTCCCTTCACTCCACTCTCTGGCAAGCGATTGCCCTTTGCCCTGGGTTTCCATTGCCAGTCTACCAAACTAGAGAAATTCAAAGTAAAAGCAGACAAATAAAAAGCAAAAATAGAAAAATTAAAACCATAGAAGGAGGTCAGGGCCTGGATGGTATCTGACAGAAGACGTTATGGGTGAGTAAACACTGTCTAGCACATTTCTCACCCTAAAGACACAGCAAGAAGAGTAATATCAGGGCCATTGGATCAATCTTAATGTCACTGACTTTTAATAAAAGAGGGAGGGTTTCAAAGACCTGCCAGGACCCAAGTTTGAAATGGACAGAATGGGCTCCTCGACCAGTTTACTTTCAAATGAACAAAGAAAAGTATTAGTAGCACTAAAGGCTTTCACTGCATTGGCCATTTCTGTGTGTTCGTAAAGCCAGGTAATAAACTCAAGGTGAAAAATCTCCAGAGTTCTACATATCCTTTACTCACAGGGGACACTGTGGGTTGTCAGAATGAGAAGAGAAGGTGGCAGTCACTGGCATTTGATGCCCAGAGGGCCAGAGAGGTTAAACTCCCGGTGATGTGAGTCATGGGCCATAAAACAAAGACTGCCCCCCCCCCACACACACACACACATGCCAACAGTAAGTACCCTAAGCGAGAAACAGCTAGAGGAGCCCAAAAGCACTTACACCCACATTTGAAGCAGGGCAATACAGAAGAAAATAATTCACAAAAATTTACATACGTACATACTACAAACTCAATAGGCTTACTCAACAATTCGCTTTAACTTAATTTCCTTACATTTTTGATGTTTAAAATGGGAATCATTTCTACTCTCCTGCCCCAAATAAATATATTTGGCCAACCATTAGCAAAATAAAATACTCTGTAAGAGAGTGGACCTGGTTTTTGAATCCCCTTGGCGTGAGTTTCCGTTCGGTCAGTTCCAAGGAGAAGCCCCGGGTCAGCCCCTGCGTGTCCCCGCGGGCCCCTGGTGGGCCCTGATCAGCCCTGCGTGTCCCCGCGTGCCCCTGGTCAGCCCCTGCGTGTCCGCGCGGGCCCCTGGTCAGCCCTGCGTGTCCCCGCGCGCCCCGGCTCAGCCCCTGCGC